TATATATATATATATATATATATATATAGCTCAAGAACAAAATCTACCAAAATTTATCAACAATTTCATCAATATTAAGCTTCTGTAAAATAACACATTCAATGTTCATAAGAGAGAAATTGAGACGCTGCTAGGACATCGTTGAACGAAGTCTGTTTTATGTTTCAACTTCGAGAATGTTTGGATTTAGCCCTGAGAGTCGGGGGCCTGGCAGTGCCTCAAGTGCCTCATGGGGCATCCGGCCCTGTACGTACCCACACGTACAGTCCTTCACTAGTGCGTTTACAGGCTCGTCATATAAACATTCCACAAATCATTATCTTGAGATTTTTGTTTTAATTTATTCCATAACATGTTTACTAGTGCTAGTTTCCTTCGTTCATGTAAACAAAACACAGGCCGCTGCCCACCGCACAAACCCGACGAGCCCCTAAACGCACCAGTGAAGGGGACTGTACCAACATTCATAAGTTTTTTCTATCTCTATTGAGTAAGAAAATGGGTGTATTGATTTATACCTGTCCGTCCGCAGCAAATGTCCACCGTAGAACATTTAACTTATCCCGGTTTCTTTGTGTTGTGATTACTTAATAGAATATTCAGGATGATTGACTTTTATTTATTTTATGATTTTTCTTCCTCGTGTTTTAAGGGAAGGACTATAATATCGTTCTCTCAGTGGAGGTATTATTTTACTCGGCCATTCATATTCATAACTTCATTCAGAGATATTAGTCCACAAGTAGCATCAACCTACCATTAGACTGTGTTCTTTTTGTCTTAGTTTATTTCAGGACATCTGAGGCGGTACAGCCAATTAATTATTATTAAAGTCAGTTCACCTCTCTCCCTGCAACACGAACCCCGAGATTCAGACTCGTGAACCCGAAGCAGTAAACTAGTACATTATTATGTCCATAAATGCTTCGGATTCATGAGTCTGAATTTCGGGGTTCGTGGTTCTGGGGGAGAGGCGAACGGATTTTAGTAGTTGACCTTAGACTTGTAGGGGACTTGTGTTACTTAAAAAGAGTTCAGGGTATCGCATTACTTAAGAATTCATATGACTGTGTTACTAAGAATGATTTTACTGTGTGTATGAGTATTGATGCTGGTGCTAACATAAGTGTATAATACTGTACATAGTAAGCTGTAAGGAGGATTGAAAACAAAACAAGAAATCTAGATAGGATATATACGTTGTGTGTATCTATTGCGTGTGCGTGCATGTGTGTGTATATTCTGTGTGTATGTGTGTTCCGTCTGTTGTTGGTGTCTTGTAATATTGAAGTCTTAACTGTGTTTGTGTGTGTATACTTATTATGTGCGTATATGTATCTTGCGTGCGCGTGTGATATATAACTTTGCGTGTATTTACCTATCTTGCGTGCAGTGTGCGTGTTTGTCTTGCTTACAGTGTGTTCCTCGGTAATAACAGATAACTATGGTAAGTCATTATTCCTTTTGTTGTGTTTACATTGTTGTCTGGTGAGAGTATTAATAAGGCTGATATTTACCATTGTGTGCCGGGGCGTGGGGCGTGATGGTGGAGCCCTGGGTGATGCTGCTCCCTGTAGGACGGTGGGGACACACACACACACACACACACACACACACACCTGCTTGGGTTTGTACTTGTAATCGCTTATAATAAAACTACTCTTGCTGTTGTTGGTTGGGCTGTTATTATGGCTCCTGTATCTGTTGCCGCTGCCGTTTTTCCTTCTATTTCCGTTAATACTGCCACTTTTTATATTTTTTGTTTTACGGGATTAGCCCACCGGGGCACAGGTCAGTGACCCACATCAGGGTCTGGGGCGAAATTATGATAATAATAATAATGATAATAATAATAAGAAGAAGAATGGGTAATAATAATAAAAATTAGTAAACAAATTAAAATATATAGATATAATAATAATAATAATAATAATAATAATAATAATAATAATAATAATAAAGGACCATAAATGAAAAATATAAAATATTAGTGATAAACAATATATGTATGTTGTGTTGTAAAAGTAAGAGAAACAATTGAAACCCTGCAATTGTGTGTAAATGAGGCAGAAAGTCAGATCTTCAACCTGGGACTTGGTCACAATTTTTGTGGTGCCATATGGCAGCAGGGTCTACCATTAGACAACACATTATGCTTCATAATATCTTCCCAGGCGGTAGTACCTCCTTGTTTGGTAGCTGCCTACCGCTGTTGTCTGTTGCTGCGGATCATCAGGACCCCCCGAACCGTATCTCCTGACCCTGGAAAATTACCATGTGGTATATTTACCTCAGAAGGTCAAGGGTCTTCATAACTAGTATTAATCCCTATAAGTTGAGGTGTGTGTGTGCGTGCGTGCGTGCGTGCGTGCGTGCGTGTGTGTGTGTGTGTGTGTGTGTGCGCGTGTGTGTGTGTGTGTGTGTGTGTGTGTGTGTGTGTGTGTGTGTGTGTGTGTGTGTGTGTGTGTGTGTGTGTGTGTGTGTGTGTGTTTAACTCCCTTACCCTTCGTGTATAAAGGCACTGCTCTGTGTATAGGAAAGAACCTCATCCCATACCACACCCACCTTGCACTCGGGTATACAAAACAGAAGTAAGAATATCCTCTGAAACAAGATCACTGGTTCAGCTCCTACTCAGTTCCCCGATGACTCAATACACCTACACATGACACACCGCAAGGAATGTACCGTATGTCCAGAAACTGCCCTGAAATATCGTGTCTTTAGCCTGTTAGGAGATGGTGTGTAACTGGAATTATGTTGTGTTGTGTTTATCTGGGTCGAGTGTTTACCTGTAGTGAGTTATGTAATGTTCCTTTAGTTAGTATACTCGTATGTTGTACAGTTCTTGTAGTGCATTACCAGATATTGTTTTGGTTAGTTGGTTATTGTAGTGTTGTATTTGTATAGTTCTTGTAGTGGGTCGTGTTAGTTGTTGAAGGGTTAGCGCCCATTACTGTATTGTTGCCATGAGAGTTATTGTATTGGTTAGTCATTTAGTGCAAGTAAAGGTGAGGTAGTTATGTATTGTAGGGGTCATGAAGATAATTGGTAGGTGTGTAGTTGGGTGCGGGCCAGGTGGGTTGTGGATGTAGACCAGGCGGGTTGTCAATGCGGGTCAGACGTGATGTGGGTGTAGATCAGGTGGGTTGTAGGTCTACAGGCCAGGCGGGTTGTGGATGTGGGTCAGGCAGGTAGTGCATGCTCTCTATCGGGTAGTGTGTGTGTGTGTGTTGCGGGGAAAATAATCTGTCTGTAAGGTCTGTAGTCACCATTTGTTTGTTTTAATTAGTTACATCTATGAATTATAGATATGTGTGTGTTTTATATTCCTAAATTACTGGCTCAGCCATGTTAATATTGTTATTATTATCCACTCTGTACCTGTGTTTTTATGGCTAAATAAACTGTTTCAATTTAATGCAATTCTTAGTTTAATTTTGTCAACGCCACACGATAATTTAATATTTTAATAAGATACAGTGGAAAAAAAAACACTAGGAGGGGAACAGATCCTAGATGGTATACAAGACCCTAAGGATACACTCCCCCTGACTATTTATTTGTGATTTATCAGGGAAAATGGTCAGGGGGTAAAATTAGAATCAATACTTGGTGTGGGTGTTACCTTCCCTGGCTTGGGATTTCTGAACCTTAAAAGCTATGTTACTGATAAGACTATAAATAATCAGTGGCTTTTTATTTCACTTATGTTAGGAAGCCTTTTGGGTATTGAAGCTAGGAAGTCATCTGGGTATTGAAGCTAGGAAGTCGTCTGGGTATTGAAGCTAGGAAGTCGTCTGGGTATTGAAGCTAGGAAGCCGTCTGGGTATTGAAGCTAGGAAGCCGTCTGGGTATTGAAGCTAGGAAGTCGTCTGGGTATTGAAGCTAGGAAGCCGTCATTGTGTACTATAGTGTTGTCGTTATTGAGTCTGCTTCATGTTTGTATCGTGTAAAGGTTTGTCGTCTCTATTACTGGTGTTGTATGTCATTATCGGTCACCAAGTTATTCTGTATTTGATGGTGACAGTATTATTGGGAGCAGGTGAACCAGGTTGTCTATGATATCATATTCTAGTAAGTCCCAAATACCCATTTCATATTCCAGTAAATCAAGGAAGAAAAATTAAACATTCTTAAATAACATTGGATTTTTTTCATATTTTTTTATACTGAAGCTTTTAGTATTTAGCATTAAGGAACTTGAGGGAAGAAGTGAATAGATTACAAATTTTCACACAAAAATAAACCTTTATTTTGGACTTTTTCGGAGATGAGCGACTTCCTTAATTATATACCGTACATTAAGTAAGAAGTCGCTTAGTGTTTATTTTTGGGGGCGACTTTACCAAAAATCGTTGTGAGCACCGCAGAACCATTAGCTCTTTTGTTTAATATTCCAGTGAGGTTAGGAAGCCATTTTAATATTCCAGCGACGCTATGAACTGACTTCAGTGTTATTCCTGTGAAACCTGAAAGTCATTATGTTATTGTTAAAGGGAAAGCTGGAACCATTTTGATATTGTAGTGAGAACGAGAGTCTATTGTTTCATGTTTTAGTGAAGTTAGGTCAGTGTTATATATTTTAATGGGGTTAGGAGGTGATTTTTGTGTATCGTAGTTTGGCTAGAAGGCCATTTTTTTATATCTTTTTGTGGCCCGAAGCTCATTTTATGGGGGCTTGTAGGCCTTTTTTATATTGTAAACCTAGGTCATTTTTGTGCTGCTGGGTGGCCATTTTTTTTTATCTATTATGAGGCTAGACGTTCATTTGTATGTATTTGTGTGGCTCGAATGACATTTATTATAATAGGAAGTCTAGGAGGCCACTTGAGCATTATTTTTTTAGTGGTGCAGGAAGCAGACCTATTGACCAGTAGAGGCCATGGGGTCGCCACTCGGGTGACCGTCACACACTCCCTCCACGCCTATGTCCATCCACATATCTCTATCTGTTTGTCTAAGTCATTTATTTCCGCCTTCCTTCCTTCCTTCCTTCCTTCCTTCCTTCCTTCCTTCCTTCCTTCCTTCCTTCCTTCCTTCCTCACCCAGTACTTGGCATTTCTCGGTCAAGTCACCATTTAAACCGTCCAGTGATATGAATGTGTATGCCATTTAGGTTGGTTGACCTTGGCTCGGCAGGCTTAGTAATTGCTGCCGGGGAAGCCTTTTGACGCGGTGATTTATTCATTAATTTGTGTAGTGTTTATATGAAAGTGAAATGAGGCGGTAGTTTAGAGATGATGACATGCTGGATCTGCTTGTTGCTTAGTGACGTGTGTGTGTGTGTGTGTGTGTGTGTGTGTGTAATAATAAATAATAATAATAATTAACGGTTTATTGAAAAAGTTCTGCAGCCCGAAGGCTGAAAATATACATTGGGCATAAATGACTTATTACATACATTGGTGGTTTAACAAAAGCCTTCATTAGAGAAAGGTAAAGGAACATACAGTGAACATACAGATTAATGTAGGTGTTGAACAGCAAAAACGTAGTGTAGTAACTCCCTCCCAGATGGTGTTAGGAGGGACCTCACGTGGTGTAGTAGTTCCCTCACAGATGGTGTCATGAGGGGCCTCACGTGGTGTAGTAATTCCCTCACAGATGGTGTTATGAGGGGCCTCACGTGGTGTAGTAATTCCCTCACAGATGGTGTTATGAGGGGCCTCACGTGGTCTAGTAATTCCCTCACAGATGGTGTTATGAGGGGCCTCACGTGGTGTGTAGTAATTCCCTCACAGATGGTGTTATGAGGGCCTCACGTGGTGTAGTAATTCCCTCACAGATGGTGTTATGAGGGGCCTCACAGATGGTGTTATGTGGTAGTAATTCCTCACAGATGGTGTTATGAGGGGCCTCACGTGGTGTAGTAACTCCTTCACATATGGTGTTATGAGGGGCCTCACGTGGTGTAGTAATTCCCTCACAGATGGTGTTATATGAGTGAGGTGTGGTTCCAGGCCTTCCTATCGTAGACGGATTAACACATCGCTGGTAGTTGGGTCTCACGGGCCGTTATCACTGGGTACCTGGGACCTCACTGTGTGAAAGGTCAACTTGGGTACCACTGTTACTGTTGAGTTGTTCTCACTGACTTAAGCACTGTTCACCACTGTTCACCTCTGTTTAACACTGGTTCCATTTCTTTCCTAAATGAAATAGTAACTTCTGGCGTGAACTTGTTGATATTCCGGTGGGGAGGAGGGTTCAGGGGAGGGAGTTGGTATGGGCCAACATAACAGTTGACCTGGCTGCTCCGAGAGGAGCGCCAGGTACGTCTTGACCCTTCGGTGGTGTGTGTGTGAACATATATTCATTTTTAATCCTCCAATATCCTTCACTATAAATTTGAAATGAAAAATTTAATCCAGTTGTTATTATTTTGACTATTGAGGTAAACAAGACAAATAAAAATAGCTTTATACATTTTAGTGAGGATTATCATTGAGTAATTAAGCCTAGGAATTGTTTTTAGTCCACGTCATAACTCACACCATCGAGGTTATTATTAGCCCCTTGACCCGAGAGGTAACGGAAGAAGGGGGGGGGTGAAGGAATGTGTCGGGAGGAGGGCGTGTATAGGGAGACTGCTGGGCTATTGGCAGCGGGAGGAGGGCGTGTATAGGGAGACTGCTGGGCTATTGGCAGCTGTTAGCACCACATAAACGCCTCACGTCCGCCACACTGTAATAACACCACCCACTTACCTCCTCCACTAGTGTCGTACTCTATTCATTTAAACTATACTTACCGTGGTATTGACTCTGTTCAAAGCTAAATTAGCTCCACGTTTTCTGCCTTGAGATGTACAGTCATGAACAGAAGTCCTGTCGCCCCCTTGTGCTGTTCCGCGAACCAAGAGATTCAGACTCCTGAACCCGAAGCAGTAGACACTGGTGCATTATTCTGCCCATCAGAGTCTGAATCTCAGGGTTCGTGGAGCAGTAGAAGGGGCGACAGGACTTCTGTTCACGACTGTACACCACACACTAAACACATAATGTGAAGCATCTTGCCCCCCACACACACACACACACAGAATATATATTATTAACGTTTCTGAAGCAATACGGTGGAACCAGTTTTACCAGCGGGCCCAGGTTAGCCAGATATTATGAAGGGTGTCTTAGGTCGATTAAAGAATTGATATGAAAATGAACTTGTCTTACCGTTACACGAAGTCTGGACTGGTCTATCTTGGGTTGTTTTTTGTTGTGCCCAAGGACCGACTAATTATAGGGTCTGAGGACATCAAGTATCGATTAACCGTAGTGTCTCCATATTAAGTACCGATTAACCGTAGCATCTCCATATTAAGTACCGATTAACCGTAGTCTCAATATTAAGTACCAATTTAGAGTAGTGTTTCCATATTAAGTACCGATTAAGCTTAGTGCCGCCATATTAAGTACCGATTAAGCGTAGTACCGCCATATGAAGTACCGATTAAGTAGTGTCCTTAATTAAGTACTGATTAACCGTAGGCTGGCTATAATAAGTACCATATAACCGGAGCATCATCTGCTATATGACCATTTTGCCATTAACTTCACCCAATCTAATGTCATTCTGTAGTACTATTTATCCGTATAACCTCACCTTATCTAGTCGTCTTTACCCGTACTGTTCTCTGTATCCGGAGCCTCCTGTAACCTAGTACGTACAACCTATTCGTGATGTACCGTTAGTCCGTAGCCTCAGCCCATTCAGTACCTTTTCTGTGTAGCTTCCATAAAAACTGGTTAATCTGTGCTCCACCGTTACCTTGGCTTCCGCTGTACCGTATACGGAGTGTGTGTGCGGATGAGAGAGAGAGAGAGAGAGAGAGAGAGAGAGAGAGAGAGAGACGTGCTGCAGGATGTCCTAGCTTGGCCCCGGACGTTGTAGCGGCCCCGGACATTATAGCTTGGCCCCGGACATTGTAGCTTGGCCCTGACGCTGTAGCTTGGCCACGGACGCTGTAGCTTGACCACGGGCGCTGTAGCTTGACCACGGACGCTGTAGCTTGACCACGGGCGCTGTAGCTTGACCACGGACGCTGTAGCTTGACCACGGGCGTTGTAACTTGACCCCGGACGCTGTAGTTTGGCCCCGGACGCTGTAGCTTGGCCCCGAACGCTGTAGCTTGGCCCCGGACGCTGTAGCTTGGCCCCGAACTATTCTTAATTTATCTAACCTAGGCTTAGACGTTTCTTAATTCATTGTACTCAGGGGGTTGACACCGTAAGCTTCTCATTCTGAATTTAGCAACCAATAAAACATTAGCCTAAATTTTCCTTTAATTATATAACCTCGGCCTGTACGTTTAATAACCCAACCCAACCTGGCTAGAAACGTCCAGGGCGGAGACGTTCTGCAGTGTGAGTCGACTACCCAACCCAACACAAAGACATGCTGTCATTGTGAGTTTTTCTTTTTGTCTGATGTTTGTACTTATGTTCCTTGTTTGTTGTTAATTTTTTCATGTTTCTATTATCTATCAGAGAGTTTCAACCATTTTTACCTTAAATTTTGTCATTTTAGTGATTTTATATATGTTAGGGTTTTTTGCTGATTCAGTTCGTGTGCAAAATGACCGGCATACATATTGGTAATTTTGCAAAATAACTTAAAAACAGACAACCTAAACTAACCTAACCTTGTGGTTGAATAAGGTTAGGTTAGGTCAGGATGGCTCGTGTAGCTTGATACACAGTTCAGTGGTCCTGCTCTTTTTTTTTTAACTTTGGACTATGTGCTATCCTAACCATAAGGTTAGGTTAGTTTAGGTTGTCTGTTTTTAAGTTATTTTGCAAAATTACCAATATGTATGCCGGTCATTTTGCAAAATAACCGATTCCGCAAAAAAGGCGACATATACACTAATAAATAATACGTTTTGAGTAAAGATATTATTATTATTATTATTATTATTATTATTATTATTATTATTATTATTATTATTATTATTATTATTATTATTATCTAATATAATATACTATAGGACTGGGCGTGTGTCTGTTTGTGTGTGTGTGTGTGTGTGTCTGTTCTGGGCAGCCGAAACGGCACAATCGTTTTTCATCAAACTCGGTGCAAAAATCGCAAAAAATTCGTAGAGTGTAACAAACCTGGTCCCATGTCGATGGTTTCTTTAGGAAGGCATTAATTAACAATTTTATTTACGATGGTAAACGATGCAAGTCTACGGACTTGGCGCACCCTCATTCGCTGTACGCTGTCACGAGCGTTCAAACTCTCACAAGGGCACGAACGTGCCCGCGATCACTTGTTATTAACTATACCGATACGTATAATGTGTACCTAAATCTGTTTTGGTATTTATATTTCAGAATTAACTTTCTGGGGAAGTGAATAAATATTACGGAAGTCGTGTCAACAGTGAGGGCTTATGTGTCACCTGTGCCGTATACCTTATAGCCCGACCACTGTAGGTGTGTATCTTACATATTGTCCAGGTCCGCCGTGACAGTTGCGTGCTGGGTTGGAGGGCTAAGACATGTGGACACGGGGATAAACATCGTCACAACCTTGACTCGCAGGATTATAATTTAAATTTTTTTGGGCTGCTTTACATAACCCAATTCTCGCCTTTTCTGATTCAAGTGATGGATATATTTTCTTGCGTGAGAAAAGTATGTTAAAGTGTACCCTTAACTTGGTGATGTGAGGATGCGTCTCACTGGCTCGCTAAGCTTCGACACAAGTATACAGTAGCAACCGGAACCACACCGAGATCTCACTGCCAACTGTCACTGTTTGTGTGTTCGTACCTCTGGCAAGTAAAAAAAATAATGATTAGTAAATCTTAAGGAATCCAAAAAACGGAATGGGTGACGCAAGGGAGGGTAGACTGGGAGGTGTGGCTCTGTGAGACGGAGGGAGGTGGAGGAGAGGTGACCCTGGGACGTGGTACAGATGAAGAGAGAGAGGGGGAAAGTGTGGATGGTGGAGAGAGAGAGTTGATGGTGGAGTCATAGTGGCTGTTAAGAAAGAAATGGTGGAGAAAAGGGAGAGTGTGAAGGAAAGTGGGACGAGGTATGGTGAGGCGTGGAGAGGGAATTAGGATGAAAGAATATCGAAGAGAAATAGATGAAAGGGGTATGCGTGCATGTGAATATAGGGGATGGATGAGAGAAGGGGGTAGAAGATGAGGGAAGGAGGAAAAGGAAGTGTGGTGGGATGTGGAGGGAAAATAAGGCGTGGGAGAGGGAGAACAGATACCAGAGGGAGAGTAGTCAGGGTGGGGCGTGGAGACAACTTCCTGGCCAGGGTCTGTGTCAGGGCGTCATGCTGCCTGCCCACCTGACGTTCCCTCCCTCCCTCCCTCACGTCACCCCACTCCCTCCCTCACGTCACCCCACTCCCGTCCCTTTCCTTCCTACTATCCTCTCCCTCTCAATAAATTTGCTTATCTCTCCATCATCTCTACAACTGCGTCTCCCCCTCGTACATTTCTCCCCGCAGCTTTATTCCTCCTCTTCGCTTTACTCCTGCTTCTCCTCCCTCTTACTACAGTAGTCATCCAGGTGTGGTGTTGCCATGCGCACCTTGTACTGTACTCATCTCCATCATTGTTGGTTAGCTGTAGTGACCGTTGTTATGGTCGTCCGTGTGGATAGTTCCTGGGATTTAGTTTATTGCACTACCACGGCATTCGTTGATGAGTCCTGTTTTATCCCTTTGAGGAAGTTGGTATATAACACCATCTTCAAAATGCTCAACTTTAAACCCTACGTAATTAATCTATCGACCTGATAAGCTTGTAGACCAAAAACCTCAAAGTGTTAGCAGTCATTACAGAGGTTCAAAGTTGGCATGATACTGAATTCGGAGTCCATTGACACACATTAAATGCCGTATTTATACACACACACTCTCATAGACTCTGAAAATATTATAGTTACACCTGTGAACCCCCTGATATTACTCCTTATAACTCGCGTACTCACTAAACTATTCTCTCATGGCTATAGTATTGTGCAGGTGGATAATAATAGTACGTTGTGGGGGAGACGTGGTAGTAGCAGGCAGCAAGGGTTCTTTGTGTTGTGAGAGGCGTCAGTGGCCACACTTGAGTGGTGGTTCCGTGTATTTACCTTGTGGTCAGCTGAGCTCGACGTCTCGCCCACCAGTCAAACCCAGACGTCGCTGTCAAGACTCTCCAACTAGCATGGTTTAAATGCATACTACATCCGGAGCTTAACACGTTTATACCACGTTAAGAACAGCTCGGCCTTGATTGGTTTTCCGTACCCGTGGGCTGGCGAACGTTCGTCGGGCGTAGCTTAAAAGAATAATATCTCCAAGTGGAGGAGACACCTGGCACAGATATTTGCTGGTGTTGTCGCTGTTTCCATGGATTTATTGTCATTTTAACGCCTGGTACACACGCAGAACAACTAGTAATAACTTATGAGGGTAGTGTTGGGTCAAGGTGTTGTCAACATAACCTGGATATATTGGCTGGTGGCCGTGACACACATACAGTCCCTGCCAGCTGTGTAAAACGCGTAATTCCTCCGTTCCAGTAAAAATATTCATTGTATCATAGTTGGCTTGTACTGACAGAAATATGTTTTATATGCTTAGAGCAATGATGGCTAAATGATAGGCTTTTTACAGTTTTTCAATGTAAAGATCTTGTTAAAGAATTTGGTACATTTAGTTTCTCTCTCTTTCTGTCTCTCTCTCTCTCTCTCTCTCAAACCAAGAAAATCTGATAAGTTATTGAGACCACCGTGACTGGTAAATTCCTCGAAAGAAGACTTTAGTCTTCTTCACAGGTATTTGAAATACTCTTGGTTAAGAGTAGTGTTGTCAGGAAGACCTTTACAACAACAACAGCTTAATTAAGAATAGTGTTGTAAGGAAGGCCTTTATACCACAGCCTAGTTAGATTGGTGATGCAAGCGTGAGTGTACAGCTGGAGCGGCTGACGGCGACACACATAACGTTGACACACATACCTGTCACAGTCCTCTCTCTCTCTCTCTCTCTCTCTCTCTCTCTCTCTCTCTCTCTCTCTCCAAACTGTCTTTATTTGTCTTTTAGCCCTTCTTTCTATAAAAGTCCATGTTCATCGTAACTGTGTCATTTTCTCTTCCTTCAATGTACATTCCTTCGTTTTCCTTGCTCTTATAAATGTTGCTAATAATAATAATAATGAAGATATTACTATATCCACTACTGCTAATAACACTAATAATTTCAAAATCAATAATAACGAGGTTACTACTAGCCTACTACAGTACGACTAATATTATTTTTTTACGTGGCCTCGGCCACCCTAATAGCCACACCTTCGCCACCATTTTGCCTTAAAATTAAATATCCTAGTACAAAAGTAGCTATCAATAGTAACTCCTAGTAATCGTAACATTAACAGTATTTTTTGCAGATTTTTTTTATAGAGTTTCCAGATGGGACTTAAATAGCTACCTTAACTATTAGTGTGGGAGGGAGGGGCTGCCCTATGCGTTAACGGGTTCACCCTCGCCACCACCCCCGCCCTCCCATTGATTATTCACCTGTTTTACCTGTCTCCATGCAATAGCTTGATGAAAGAGAGAGGGAGAGCGTGATACAGTGTGTTCGTGTATCTGAGAGAGAGAGAATGTATGGGTGAGGGAAGAATATACGCAGAGAGAGACTCTCAATTGATGTAGGGGTGAGGAGGTTATTAATGAGGTGTTGTCTTCCCCAGGTGGCTCATGACTGTCGCGGGGACGCCGGGGCGCTCTACCACCAGTTCGGCGTCACGCTCAAAAACGTCTTCGACACCCAGGTCAGTACCTTATAAACACGAATTCTTGGTAAGTTTAACTGAAATGTTGTTGTCAGCTTTGTGAAATGAATCCCCCAAAGTTTAGAAGAATATTAATAAAAGAAACAGAGTAAGGAGTCATGTCAGGGGTACGATGCTGTGTTTGGTGTTTGTGTGGGAAGACGGCAATTATAGTGTTTTCAAGCTCAAAAATCAGCGTCATCCCAACCTCAGATATGACCCCTTAATGTAAGTTCACATCTTTTTATTTTGGGGTTCACTTCCCAAATCATAACACCTTAACATATAGGTATCACTTATGTATGCAGGTGGCACTAATTAAGATACTATATATCTGATGCCAGTTATATAAGTGTGATCTAGGATGATTGTTGTTAGTAACGTAGATTTTCTTTAGGATGTCCTGCCAAATATTTGTCATTTAGGATACATCGTGACAGTGCTAGTTAAGTGTCACTTTGGTATCTGATGTCGGCTGCGTAGGTGTCACTTACAAAGATAAGTGCCACGTATGTGTCACTTGGGGTAACTAATGCCAAGTATGTATATGTCACTTAGTATTTCTAGAGCTGCACAGGTAACCTTGACACCATTATGTTAAGTTGGTATCTCTGTAGGTTTGGTTTCTCAAAGATTACTGCATTAGTTTTTTCTCAGTTAGTCTCAGTGCAATCTCCCTGTCGTGTTGCCTGTCAGCTTTGTGTCGGAACAGTTTCTAGTCAAGTAGATTTTTTTCTCACATCTTGTTGTTAGGGGAAATTTAACCAGGGATTTTTCGAGAAACCGAGCCTCATTTTAATGTGTCCAAATGTTGCCTAAGTAATTAATTATTGGTGGCACTTATGAACGTAATATAGGTTAAGTACTGTCGAGGATGAACTATGTCATAATATAGCTGCCTCTTACGATTAGTGTAATAATTCTCTGCATTAACACGTGTCTAACCTAGGAAACTCAGGTATCAACTCCAGGTAGAAACTTGTTTGATTGAAATTAATATATAATGGGAATTGCATTTTTTCACCTTTCTTACTTAGTAAGCTATCCCCCCAACTCATAGGACCTTCACTATAACTTGTATAATTCCTGAATGATCTATCCCCTGCCAATTATATCCTTATATGTCCACCACCAAGGCTCTCCATCTTTCACCATATTCATTACTCTTCATACAAGGCAGTGCCTCACCCCAACCTCCATCCATCAGTTCTAGTGTGGACGAAGGTATCAGAAAATTTTTGCTGAAAAAGAAGTGAAACTGTACTCTTTGGCTCATGACAAAAAGGAAGTCTCTTTTTTTAATTCAAAAGTAGCACATATAATTATGTACTAATGGAGATTTCAAATTCAGTGGTATGTATGTAAACGCCACAGTCCTCATTATTATGTAACGTCATCTTGCTCATCACCTTAAGTACTATCATAGAAATAATAATAATAATAATAGGTAAATGTTTATTAAAAACAATAAAACATAAAATAGCCAAAGGCTGAAAAATAATGCCCCACACACAAGGCAACATTATTAATGTAACACTCAGTAAAAAAAAAAGTACTGTATCTTTACAATTCTTGTGCAAAACAAAATGACATCACTAATGAAGGTTTTTAAAAAAGGTTCATAATGCAATGAACTAATTTTATATTTTGAATGAAATAAAAAAAAATAGGCCTACCATAATAGGTAGAAAATGTCTCACAATCACGCCTACCAAACCTAGCAAGACAACAGGATTGTTTAGTTCCAAATTCATTGGACCCTTCCCAATAGATACTTCTTTACCGAGTGGTAGTAACATTCATATGTTGGCTTATCAGAAATCCCATGAAGTCAAAGATACCCACTGTTAAAGCTCTTCCCAATACCTAGCAACACAAGTACTGTATAATCTTTACATCTCCAGCCCTCATCGTTTTATGCTTTGTCCAGAAAATAGTAGAACATTTTTCCCATTTGCTATGTTGGTCAGCTGTGTGAACCCTAGCTGGATCTATATGTTGTTGCAGATACTGTACTGTAATTGCTCATAGGAGCGATTTTGGTTTGTGCAGGACAATAAGACCCTTGTCGTCACCACTTGTCCTAACAACATCATCTAACTCGGCGCTATGCTCAGGATCACAAGGCATATAATTACTGCCTTCATCACCACTTTCACCAGAATCGTACACTACAGCACTCACATCAAATAGTTCTGTCCGTATCTCGCTATCATCCAACCCTCGGCGGCAATTCTTGATCGGGGTGGAAGCTGCTGGCGACCAAGAGGTTGAGGGGTGACTCCCCATAACAACGGGAATGGGTACTGACTGTACTGGGCCCACCCACGCTCCCCTCTGTGTGCTGTGACAGACAAATAGTCATGCTGGAACCTGTTAACCCGTGACAGGCATTCAAACAGTGGCGGAAAATGGCTCTCGTTCTGGAACGTCACCCTGGGCGCGCCGGTCCAGCGTTCTGGAACATCACCCGGGGCGTAAGGGGTTAATGCTACTAGAATGTTATTTAAATAGTAATATGCCAGATAACATAGATGCAGACAGTGACTTTGTGACATTTTGGTGGTTACATTGCCAACAAGATTCCCCAGTACCAATATCTTGAATCAAAACTTGGAAACAACACTTGGATTGAAATAGCAACTAGTGAACCCAAGTAGTGATCATGAGGACAGCACTTTAAGGTTGGAAAAGGAGCTATAACCAAATTTGTGTGTGTGCCTGTTGGTGTAATTGCAATTTACATTCATTGTCGCACTTTCCCTGGATACGTGTTTGAATTGGGATGTACTGCACTGTACAGCCAACTCATCACGAAAGGAGAATCCCAAAACGTCTAAATTGGCAAAGTGAGTTTTTAGTGTTTGATATACTGAACCCTGTATTAAAATTTAATTTTCATGATTATAAGCTATCAGCTTTTACTCTCCTGTGCGTGGTTCTACATTATGTAGTAACCTGCACTTAAGATTTACATTTTCTCACTATGACTGCTGTGCAGTAGGGGGCAGTGAAATTTTGCTCAAAGCTGCACTCTTCAGGCATTGTTCCTTATACATATCTAAGACTCCATGCCAAATTTGAAGCTGATATGTCGAGGTTTAGTCTGCCGCATTTTCTACTGAAATTTTTAAATTTACCTACAGCACTAGCCAAACAGCCGCTGTGGCGGTGCAATGTTCTGTTCAGTGTTTATCAACTTTTTTTTCATATCTCTTATTTCATTTAAGTTGTCTTGTTGCAGATGAGTATGGTGCTATGATTATAAAGATGGCCGCCCAGGACTGTTCAGAAATATGGGAAAAAGCAATTGGAGATAGGCAGAATGTTCCTCTTCTTAGCCAAAAAAATATTGAGGAAAGGTTGAGAAAATTGTACAGTAGAGGAATTGAACTAAATAAGAACAAGAATGTAGGCAAAAAAGCTGCATTTCAGGTAGAAATGAAAGAGTTGTTTGATATCTGTAGCTGTTATTGTCCCCTTGCCTCCTGTCAGGATGTGAGGTGCATAGTTAAGGAGTGTGACGGATATCACCTGGCATGTAATTGTGTTATAAAAGTTCCCAAACGTGAGGTGCAGTTTCTCCTTGACCAGCGAGGTGATAGGAAGATGAAGATTGCAGGGGTTGACATGAAAGTGACGAAGATGTGGGACAGAGTGACGGCAAGAGAGAAGCATGATGCGGACAGAGTTAGGAGACACCTTGAGCAAAAACATAGATATCTGGTAGCTGGAGATATTCCTTATGTTGAGGATAATTCAGATGATTCAAGAGATATTCCTCTCATCAATACTGATGCTGATTTTGTCCCTGATCCAAGGGCTCTGACAGACACCAGTTCACAGAACCGGACAAGACTCCCTACACTGGCTGCCGCTTGTGACCGATACTTGATTAGTGATTATGCTGGAGCTGCCATTGCTACTGCCACCTTAACTGACTATGGCATTATCACAAAGGATGACAAGAGTCAGGTTATTGGACCACATAAGCTGCGGGATGCGAGACAAAAATACCGATTTAAGAGGCAAGAAATTGAGATGGCTAGTTTAGATAATTTGACTTCACTCTATTTTGATGGTAAGAAGACCGCCACTCGTGTGATGATAAAGAATGAGAAGACCGAGAAATGGAGTTCGAGGATGATGGTGAAAGATCATTATGTCATCATGGTTGAGCCTGGCAATGAATATCTCACACATGTGACTCCCAAGACTGGACACGGAAAGCAGATTGCCAAAACTATTCACGAGTTTCTGGTGGAGAAAAATCTAACCCAGCAGCCCATTGTGTGTGTTGGTTGTGATGGAACCAATGTAAATGTAGGATCAGAAAATGGAGTCATTCATCATCTTGAAATGTTACTTGGTCACCCGCTCCATTATTTCATATGTCAGCTTCACGGAAATGAGCTGCCTTTCCGCGCAGTTTTTTATCACTATGATGGTAAACCAAGTGGTCCTGAGCATTGGCGTGGTCCCATTGGAAAGCAGATCAAGGAGTCTTTGTCTGAGCTTCCAGTTGTCGCCTTCCAGCCAGTCAGTTTCCCTGATTTCCCTGTGTTTAATGATGAAGTGGAGAAAGATCTGTCCTGGGATCAGAAATACCTGTATAGGATTTGTAAAGGAGTTATCACAGGTGTTGTTGAAGATGACTTGGCTGCTATTGAGCCAGGTCCTCCCTGTGTGTCAAGGTGGAACACCTTATGGAGTAGAATCCTCAGGCTGTATGTAGCAACATCAAGACCCAGCCATGAGTTGAAAAGAATTGTCATTACAATAATAAAGTTCAGTGCTCCAATGTGGTTTTACATCAAGATACACCCTTACGTAACACACGGCTCAAGGAACGTATTCCAGTCCCTGCTATATATGAAACACCTGAATAGTGAGGAGGAGACGATAGTGAAGAAGGCTGTCCAGAGAAATGCATACTTCGCCCACACAGATCAACTTCTTGGTATGTGTGCAGATGAGGACATGACTGTTAGAGAAAAAGCTGTCTCAATGATAAGAAAAATTAGAGAGGAGAATCAGCAAAAGGAAGAATGCATTGGCAGATCTGAAGAGGAGGAGGAAGATTCTGATGCTGCTGTTGACGAGAATTTGTTAAACTATACTGATGAGGAGGGTAAAGATGGAGATGGGAATGAGGATGTGCCTCCTGTAGTCAACATGAGAAAGGTGGTGACTCCGAAACTAAAGTGGCAAGCAAAAAACTATCATTCCATGATTAATTGGAGGAATGAACTCAAGACTGAGCCTCCTTACATTGCTTCTCTGTCAAATCTACAGGTTAATGACATTCTTGAAACACCATTAGTGGTGCCCAAGTGGCCAAACAGCACTCAGGCGGTCGAGAGAGGCATAAAAGTGATGACTGAAGCTTGCACTGAAGTGACGGGATACGAATCGAGAGATGGATATATTAGGCAAAGATTATTGTCTAGGAAAATGATGCCAAGGTTCCGCACAAAAAAGAATTTCAATATGAACTTGTAATGATTTTCTATACGGTGTACCTGTAAAATAACATGTGAATTAAATCGATGTCACCCATGTAAAATTTATCATTATCCTGGAAAACATTAAATGACACCTAATTTTTGGTATACACTAAAAGTTGACAAAAAGTCGTTCGCGATGCGGCAGGGTAAGTATGCATGAAATGGCATGAAATTTTGCACAGGTGTTTGTTACAGCCATACAAACAATGCCTGAAAAGTGCAGCCTGCAACTCAAATAAAAGTGTTTTTTCCCTGTCCCCTACTGTGCAGTGTTGTACAGTATTTTATGAAATTTAATGTGCTGTAAAGGTGTAAAACATTGTATTAGTGTATATAAAATGTAATTGCAATTACTCACTACCTAACCTTGGTGCGTGTCTCAGAATCTTTCATGTGACGTCAGCATAGCTCTGTCCTCCCAAAGATTAGAGACAGTAAGGTTAGACCACCAGGTACTTGTTTTACCCTCAATGCACAGCTCATTGACGTCACTGCTTAAACACGCATCATCTGGTAACCTCTCTATGTGCCTGCATCTGGCCCAGGGATCAGTTTATCAACAATTATGGTTATTTGTGCAATACCTGTATACGGGTGCACCAGCAAAGCTCAAATCCCAAGCAGAGAGCACATCAATTATTACAGATATCCCAGAGATAAGAAAACTTGTGATTAATGGATAAATGCCCGCAAGCGTTCTGATAAAGTAAACACATTAGGCTAGCCGAGAACTTGTTTGAAAAGAGTTAATATTTCTTTTGTATCTACAGTACTTAATTCTGATATGTTTGCCGATATCCAGGTATTTACAGGAAGGTGAGACATCCATCTTGCTATATGTGGTCAAAAAGAATTCTGAACTTCTTTAATAATCTTGAAAAAATTAAAGCTAAGTACTGTTTCATCGGTACGTGGGTTTCAGGTGTCAACACAGTGCTTGTTTCAGGACACGAGGGAAGATTTCTTTTAGTTTCTTAATTCTGCAATGTCAGTCAATATCAGGCCCTCCAGAAGACTGTGAGACATTGTTCTTGCCATGTCTGACAAAAAAAAAAAAAATATTGCCCCAAATATAAGAAAACCCAGAGTTACATCACTTAATTCGCCAGCGACGGTTGTGATGCTTAACGCCTAGAGAAACTTATTATATTTTCTTAAGTATGCATTTTAAGGCAATATCTAGTTGTCTGGAGTGCCCTTAGACATTCACCTTGCCATGTATGGCAAAAGAAAAATCTTTGCATTGCTAATAAGCTCATAAATTAAAGCCATGTCCACTTGGGGAGGTCATATTGTTTAAAATAAATACTTTAAAAATATACATTTGTGCCGGAAACGCCATAGAAGAAAATCTATTTCTAACTAAAAAGAAGCCAGAAAAACACATTGCCGAAATAAAAATCAGAGCCAAGTGCGTTGTCAAAATTTACCCTATTATTTTTTAAATAAGGTTTTTTTTTCTTTATGGGGAATAGCCCACCCGGGCACAGGTAATTGACCCACAACAGAGCTTAGGGGCAAAAAAGTAATAGTAAAAATTAATTAAAAATAGAAAAGAAAAAGATTACATTAATCTACACCACGAAGATGCTGGAAAACCAGCTTTTTAAAGTGAGACATTGTATGAGTATGGAAACTCAGAAGAAGGCAGAGTATTCCACAGTTTGGCTGTGTGAGGCAAGAAGGATGTACTATAATGGGTTATCTAGTGTGACTGACAGCCACAGAGAAATGGTGGGCACCGCGGTCAAGACAAGTGTTACGAGCCTACGGCCTTGCCGGCAGTACACAGGATGCCAAATCCACCGAACACTGCCCATTAAAGTACCTGTAAAAGAGAGAGAGTGAAGCAATATTTTGGTAAAGAGAAAGGGAAGAAAGATTTTCAACTAAAGGAGGAATCAGTAAAACGAAATGCCTTTGATTCCACCCTATCTAACAGTTGGACAGAAGAAGAGCCACCCCAGATATGAGAGCAGCACTCTAAGTTAGGACGAATGAATCCCTTATATACTTGGGGCAACTGCTCAGGAGTGAAGTAGGTACGGCATCTGTACAGCATTCCCAGCTTTCAGAAGGCAGCTTTAGCAATGTTGTGGATGCGTAAATTTTATTAATACTGTCTATAGCAAATTTCAACCCACCATACCGTAGATTTTCAGACGCTCCGTATCATCCCACTTTTGACAACAAATAAGTTGTCGCTGTAGAGACAACTTGAGGAGTTCATTGAAAAATCAACACTCCGGTGGATTTATTCTGGGTAGAAACTCTAGTGTGACCACAGCTTAAAGGAAGTTTCAGAAAATTTGAAAAAAAAAATTTCTCGTACTGTATGTAAATAATAGGCAGTCAAAATTTTGGAGTTAATATGGATGTATATGATAATTGCTGGTTTTTATTTTACAGGCAGCCCATGCAGTCTTGCAACAACAAGAGACAGGAAAGCCTGTGTACAAAGTGAAGAATGTCTCCCTCAACACACTCTGCCGCTCCTACAATGCTCCTGTCAACCCACGCAAAGACCAGGTTGGTGTCCAGCGCTTGTGTTCTCTAAGCTCTCCAGTGGCTCTCAGATTGCTTCTCTGAAGTGATGGTCAGTACAGTATTATACTCTCTGGTGGTCTTTTTATATGGTCTAAGAGCTTTCAACACACTTGAGTGGTTTGCTAATGGTCCTCTAGTGATAATCAATAGTCTAGAGGTAATCTATGGTCTCTATGGGTCCTTTAGACTGTCAAGAGCTCTCAACACTTGTTTCTCTACAGTCTACACCTTCAAGCTGTGTGCTAATAGTCCTTTACATTCCCAGGTGATCTTATATGCCTATACCGTAGTTCTTGATTACTGCCTGTCATTGTAATGGTCTTTACCTCTTCTGATGGTTTTCAAAGTCATCTGCATAATAGTTTTTTCTCCCCCCAAGTACTGTAGTTGTCTTGTGGTTCTTTACTCTCTTGTGATTTTCTCACATTTTTAATGGTTCTCTAATCCCTGTACATATTTTAATTCTCAATTATTGCCTTTAACCTGAATACTGTAAACATTAAGCTGTACACTTGTGATTTGACACACCCTCTTTTGGTACTTTAAAGGTTCTGTAATCCTCTACACCCTCTGTTGGTTCTTCTCTTATTCTGTGATAATATTCTTGTCCGTTTTTTTTTATTCACTCTTTAGTGATAGGCCATTCCTCTATACTGTACAGTATATTGGTCCCTGACAGTCTAGTGGTGCCTTACACTCATAGATTATCTTCTCGTACTGTACACTCTTTGAATTATTATGTTGACCATTAATCATTCTCACATACTGTACCTCCATATAATGGTTTTCAGTCAGGTACTAATTAAAACCATTTCACTTACCAGTATTCTTTAATTTATTCTCCAATTTCGTCACCTCACGTATATTTCAGTGGTCTTTCTTTTATATTATTTCACCTTTCCCATATACCCGTGTTGACTGATGGACACTTAAACAGCTGCTATTTATGGTTTTTGCTCACTTGGTGTTAGTATCTCTTTCTTTTGATATTGCAAACTCCTTTCGAATTTGTAATTTGATTTTGGGTAAGTTTGAATTGGTATTATAGGTGACCGGTCAGTCATGATCAAGGCAATTATTGCACAATGCTTTACTGTATAATGTTACTGTACAATATTAAGTAGTGATTTATGGAATTAAATAACATTTCCTGCCTTGCCAGTTAAGAAGGTGCTTGGAATTCCTACTTATAATGCCCAGTTCCCAATCTATGATAGTGAATTGGTGATACAGAGGATATCAAGCTGTAAAAAACTTGCTTCAGGACACCATGCCATCAAGAAATCATGGCCAACCCACACCATCGTGGAGAATGTCTCTATATTGGTGATAATTGTGATGATGAAGTACCTGTACTTTATACTACATATACTATATAGTATTATTTTATACCATACCTAAATTGCGAGAGAAATTCTTTTCCTTTTTCAGTAGTAGAAATCACAATTAAGATCCATTTATTTCCTGTCAGATAGCATGATGCTTTAATAGCAAAACTTGCTTCCTAAGTTTAGCTAGGTTTTTATATACAGTTGAATGAAGTAATGACATTGACTTTAATACATATATTCACATGAATTGTTATACCTGTACTGTAGTACTTGGAAAATACCTTTTACTTATAATACACTACAGTATGTTACTTTGTAGATGATGGTTCTTGTAAGCTACACACAATATTGTAATAAAGCATTTCAGAGTTTTTGTTATCTCAATAATGGTACAAAACACGATTTGTATACTTTGATACACTGAAAACTTCATAATAAAGATGTTACCGGTTGTAAAGTAGATAATTACAGTATAAACCGTTTTTCCATGGAGAAGATGGGGTTTGTGAAAACAATAATATAAATGGCTTTCTCCGGTACAGATGAAGAACGTTTACCGCCGTGATCAGAGATTCTGGGCACGACGACCACTAACAGAAGACATGATTGTATATGCAGCCTATGATGTTGTAGCTCTTGTTCCAACAGTCTACGATGCCATGAAAAGGTACAGCTACAGGGTTGTTTAGTTGCTACAGGTGTTCTCAATATGGTAACCTTGACTTTTTTAAATGCTAGTGTTATTACAGGTGTTTCAAATAGCCTTGAATTTTTTTTTTCAATGTCGGTGTGAGGCAAAGTCTATACCTGTACAGTATCTTGAAAATGATTTGTGAAATAGACAGAAGAGATAGAAAAAAACATTGATTTTTCGTATGATTTTTTCCTCTTTCGCAATACAAGGTACAAGGGGTATTCTTAATTTCAGAACAATATGTAAAATATCATGTACAGTATATAATCAAAGATTTAAAACCACTTTCTTGTACAGTAGTTACAGTGGGGTATGCTATAACGAACGTAATTGGTTCCAGAACCTCGTTCGTTATAGCATTCGTTCATTATAGGATTAATCCGTTCCAGGCCCCCAAATACAACCACTTAACACTGAAAAAATTCTGTGGAAAATGTAAAAAATTCGGTATTTTATCTTACCTTACTGTTGTTCAGCATGCAGGACAGGAGGCAGAGGGGGAGGGGGGAGGAGAGAATTATGGAGAAGAGGTGGAAGGAGTGGAGTCATCCTTCCTAGCCCTCTTTGGTGACTGTCTCACAGGCACTTAGTCTGTAGTTTCTTTTGTTACCTTTGTAAAGAAGGAATCCAGGGTTGGCTGCTTCAACCTTGATTTCTGGACCTTCCAAAAGTAGTTCATAACATTGTCATTAAACACACTGATGGCCTTTTGCACAGAACCAACATCAGGATGATAATCCTCAGCAAGCTTGGACAGTTTGCTCCAGCAAAAGAACGCATCCTTGAGATCTTTGGCTGGAATGATGCGGCTTTCCTCCTTGTCCTCCTCCTCCTCCTCCTCCTCCTCCTCCTCAGAAGTTAAGCTCCGCTTCAGTGTCTCATTTTCCTCTTTGTGAAGCTCAAGCAGCTCCTCAGTGGACAATTCCTTACTGTGCTCTTCCACCAACTCCTCAACATCATCATCATCCACTTCCAGGCCCATGGAATTACCCAGAGACACAATTTCATGAACAACAGCCTCTGCTTCTAACTCTTCGAAGCCTTCAAAGTCTCTTTGAAGGACAATTCAGGCCACAATGGCCTCCAAGCAGCACAAAGACACCTCACAGTAACCTCTTTCCAGGCTGAGGTAATTAAAAATACAGCATCTGCTATATTGAAGTGACTCTTCCAAAATTCCTTCAAGCTAACATCACTGGAAGAAGTGGATGCAAAACATTTTTTTAAACAGTGCCTTTGTGTACAACTTCTTAAAGTTAGAAATTACCTGTTGATCCATGGGCTGGATGAGAGGTGTTGTGTTGGGTGGCAAGAAGTGCACAGTGATGAAGTTGAACTCCTCTGGCAATTCAACCATCAAATTAGGAGGGTGGGCTGGTGCATTGTCCATCACCAACAAAGCTTTCAGTGGAAGATTATTCTCCCTGAGGTATTCCCGAACACTGGGTCCAAACACCTCAATCACCCACTCAGAGAATAAATTCCTGGTCACCCAAGCCTTTGGGTTTGACCGCCACATAACACCAAGGCGGGTCTTCCTAATTTTTTTGAAAGCTCTGGGGTTTTCTGCGTGGTACACAAGGAGTGGCTTTATTTTGCAGTCACCAGAAGCATTAGCACAAAGAAGGAGGGTAAGCCTGTCTTTCATTGGCTTATGGCCAGGGACAGAAGTTTTCTCCTTGGTAATGTATGTACGGCAAGGCATTTTCTTCCAAAAAAGTGCAGTTTCATCACAGTTGAATACCTGCTGGGAAACAAAGCCTCCCTCTTTAATAATATTCAAAAAAATGTCATGGTGTTCCTTAGCTGCTTCCTTATCTGCACTAGCAGCATCACCATGTCTCACAACACTATATATTTTATTTCTCCTTCTGAAACCAGTAAACCACCCCTTGGTACCCATAAACACTGGCACATCACTATCACTTGCACTGGGAGTCTTGGCTTTAAGGTCCTCAAACAATTGTCTGGCCTTCTCACAAATTATAGCTTCACTAATGCTATCACCTGCCATTTCTTTCTCCTTTATCCACACTAAGAGTAAATTTTCCATCTCCTCAATCACATTACACCTTGCTTTGCTAAGTCTAGAGATTCCCTTAGCCACTTGCACTGTTTTCAACTCCTCTTTATTCTTTAAAATCGTACATATAGTCGATTTAGCCATCCCATACTCATCACTAAGTTTCGCAATGCTTGTTCCATCCTCACGTTTCTTTATGATTTCTTTCTTAGTTTAAAGAGTTATGAGCTTTCTCACTCGCTTTGGATGATTCATTGTCACAATTGTACACTTGTATAACAAAATATTTATACAAATAACTCTATTTCCACATCAAAAGACGAAATTTCAACAATAACAGTGGTGCACTGGCTACACAATGAGACAAAGATGGCGCCTGACGCTCTTGTTGTGGGTCGCGGTACAACAATATTCATGCGCCAGGTGAAATAGTCCCGTATTCATCCGTGTTCGTTGTAGGAGTTGCGTTCGTTATAGCATTCTCAATTTTATAGGTAAAACCGTTCGTTATAGGAATATTCGTAGTAGGATCCGTTCGTTATAGCATACCCCAGTGTATTAGATTTGTAAAAGTTTTATATAATAATAATAATTAACGGTTTATTGAAAAAGTTCTGCAGCCCGAAGGCTGAAAATATGCATTGGACAAAAATTACTTATTACATACAAAGACATGGGGTGGATGGGTCATTTAACAAAAGCTTTCATTACTGAAAGAAGAAGGAACATGAATTGAACATACAAATTATTATAATCTACAGTTGATGGCCCGAGTCTCTGGAGACACCAGGTGGTGTGGTGTTCACGTGGTCATGGGGACACCGGGTGGTGTGGTGTTCACGTGGTGCAGTAACTCGTCCTCGGGTGTTGATATGAAGGACCTCACGTAGTCATGGGGACACCGGTGGTGTGGTGTTCATGTGGTGCAGTAACTCGTCCTCGGGTGTTGATATGAAGGACCTCACGTGGTCATGGGGACACCGGGTGGTGTGGGGTGGTGTCACAGTACCCCACCCTGCTGGTGTTGTGTTATTTCGTAGTCAGGTATGAAGCTGACCCACTGTTGTTCCCAGGGTGGACTGATTAGCACCTCCTTGTCAGAAGATGGCGGTCAGTTCCCAGGGGTACTTATCTCACTGGTACTGTCTAGTGCTGAATACACTGACTTAAACACTGTTCAACACTGGTCCCACTTCTTTCCGAAACGAAATTGTCACTTTTGATTATGTTGATATCCCGGTGGTGAGGATGGGTCGGGGAGAGGGACTTGGGGAATGGGCCGAACATTGGTCAAGGGGGGCAGCTGATTAGCAGGAGCAGCGCTTGAATAGGTCTTGATCCTACGGTGGTTCTGTATAGTAGTAAATACAGTAGCATTTTCAAATATTTTGGTGTTGATAATAATAAGCACATTCAGAAATTACAAGGTAAATTTAAAATACCAGTATTTAAGAATATCACGGTTTCATTATGAAGAGGGGCATGAACAGTTCTGTTTTTGTAAATGTAAGTTGTAGAAGTGAATTTTAATTTTCTTCATCTTTTATGATTGTGTTATTGTACAGTACTGTATATGCATACCATGTGTTGGTAGGTATTTATAAAAGTCACAATTAAAGGTTCTTTAATTGTATTAGTGTGAATTGTTAACACTAACCCCATGGGGAATGTTCCAAGCACTGAAGTTCACTTTATATAATTCAATACCGTACAGTATACAGTATTGTAGATATAGCTTTATGTTTTATAGTAGTGCACTTGTCCATATCCAACTGCACAATCAGTACCCATAATATTAAATTCATGGAAGCATTCTTCATAATGTAAAAGATATACTATTCATAATTATAAACTGAAGGAGCTCTGCTAATTGAAATATTTATTATTTATTAGACAGCTAGACCCTGGATTGATGCCTCTATTTGAGGAACTCTGTCGGGAGCAAGTGGAGGCCTTGATACAACCGGAGGAAGTTAAACAAAAGAAAAAGCAACGCAAAATTGAAACTGAAGTGGCAGAATTGAAAAACAAGTTAGCGACCACCCAAGCTAGAGCAATTGTCTTGTCTAATAGAGAGATCAGACTACTCAGGTAAGACACTAAATAAGTTGGACATTGTTGTCATGGAAATTTACCTATACCCCTGTACTGTACAGTACTGCATTTTCCAAGCTTTTGTATGTTAGGTATACTGTGTTTGTGTTAGTTCTTTCTACTTACATATAGTTATAAGTTTTTTATTACAGTAATCATAGGGTGTGGTCATGCTTTCTCATATTAGCAAAATGCAGTAAGTTGATGAAGCATCAACCATATTCCATACTTACTAGTAGTAATTTTTGTGCACTTAACCCCATTGCTCCTCTACTGCAACTTATTCAGATATCACTGAAATCCCACCGAAGAAGATAAAACTATAGGTTACAGATGAACTATAGTGTGGTCTCTTTTTTTTTCTGTATTTTAACTTGTGGTATTTCATAATATCTCGAGTTAGTCATACAGTATACTGTATATCTAATTCATTCGCGTGCGTGCGTGCGTGCGTGCGTGCGTGCATGCGTGCGTGTGTGTGTGTGTGTGTGTGTGTGTGTGTGTGTGTGTGTGTGTGTGTGTGAACTATACAACCTATTATGGTTGCTGCATAGAATGTCAGGATCTTTCTGGATACTGGCACAAATGAGTGTCCTATAGAAGAACTGCCCTTGTGGCATAACATCGACATAGCAGCATTTAGCGAGTCCTGGCTCCCTGACGAGGGATAACTCACAGAACTGAGGTCTTGCTATCCCTTCTTCTGGAAGGGTGAGCCTGCAGCAGAGAATAACTGCATTTATGGAGTTGGCTTTGGCAATTGCCAATCCATCCTATATAGGCTAACTGAGGCCCTCATGGCACTGAGCCCCTCATGGCACTCCAAGTCCCAAAGAATTACTCTTGGCATGCCTTCTTCATCAGTGCATACTGTATGCCCCAACACTGGATTCAGACAACGACATCAAAAAAGCCTTTTATGCCGACTTTGACACATTGTTAACCTCTGTCCCCAGAAAAGATAAGGTTGTTCTTGATGACTTCAATGGCAGAGATGCTGACTTATGGCAGGGAACCATAGGGAGAAACGGAGTGGGTAAGTGTAATCCCAACAACATACTCCTCCTAAGCAAGTGTGCTGAACACAACCTCACTATCACGAACACCTTATTTAGGCAGGCCAACAAGTTTAAGGGTTCGTGGCAACACCCACAATCCAAACACTGGCATCTCACTGATGATAACATTGTCAGAGAAAGAGATCGCTGAGATGTCCTCATCACCCGAGCCATGCATGGCTCAGACCACTGTGACAAGGATCATCAGTTTGTCAGAGCCAAACTCCCTTCATGTCGCCCCAAAATGGTGAAGGCAACAAGCCTCCAGAAGAGGTTTTAACACCAAGTGACTGCAGGATCAAGTAGTAGAACATGCTTTCAGAGAGCAGCTAGACAATGAGCTGATAAACAACCCAACAACAAACTACCTAAGTCCGAGTGCTGAATGGGGTATTCCCGACGCTATCATCACAAAAGCCTGCATAGAGACCCTCGGCCAGATAGAAAGAAAACACCAGGATTGGTTTGACGAAAATAACCAGGATATCGGTGCACTCATCACTGGTAAACGTGCTGCTTTCATTGACTGGCAAAACAAATCTCGGTTTCAGACCAAAGCTGATACCTTCCAACAAAAGAAAGCGATGTCCCAGCGCAAATTTCATGATCTGAAGGACAAACGGTGGAAAAATAAAGTGTGCCAAATGTCAAAATTTGAGGATCAACACAAGATGCGTGAATTTTTCAATTCCACTAAAACAATGTACTGTATGGTCCAAATACTCCAAGTGCAGCCCCCCTCCTTTTATCCCACAGTAAATCCCTAATTCAAGACAAATTAGGCATCTGTCAGTGCTGGAAACAGCACTACCAATCCTTGCTCAATCAACACACTGATGTGGATGTCCTGACTACCTTACCTTAGCTATCCTTCATCCCATGATGAGGTATCTACTGCCATCAAGCAGATGAAAAATAACAAAGCTACAGGCCCTGATGGAATCGCAGTTGAGGTGTCTAAAGCAGGTGGAGGATTTCTGCTTATCAGACGTCTCCACTCTCTCCTGGACAATATATGGGAGAAAGGGGAAATCCCCCAAGATCTTAAAAATGCCTCCATCATCAATATTTATAAAAACCAGTCAGGCTATGGCAACTATCACAGGATTTTGCTGTTGTCCGTAGCTCTGCTCTCCATAGCTAGCAAGATTATCGCCCGAGATCCTCCAAAGCAGATTTCTTCCTGAGGCGGAAAACTTCCTCCTAGAATCTCAATGTGGCTTTAGACCATCATGTGGCACCACTGACATGATCTTTGCTTCCGCTAGATACAGGAAAAGTGCAGAGAACTGCGTCGTGACCTGTACATGGCCTTCAATGACCTTACTAAGGCCTTTAACTCAGTCAACAGGGAAGCCCATTGGCGGAACCTCAGTCGTTTTGGCTGCCCACCAAAATTAATCACCATTGTGAGGCAACTTCGCGATGGCTGTAACGGCATTGTCCTGCACAATGGCACCCAAGATGAGTTCTTCCCCATCCAAATATAAACAAGGATGTGTACTGGCACCAACTCTCTTTTCCATTATCTTGGCTGCCTCCCTTACTTGTGACATTGCCAGTTTAGCCAGCGAGGTGGACATCCAGTACCAGATGAAGGGACTTTTCTACATAAGATGACCTACATGAGATCCTGAACACCTACACAGATGCCTTAAGGTGAATGTACGTAAGTCTCAGATTCTCTTTCAGCCTGCCCCTGGTTCAGCCACATCTCCCCAGCTTAATGGTACTACCCTCTCTATTGTTATCCACTTTCAGTATCTTGGTTCCCACCTGTCCACCACCATGGACTTTAATGAAGAGTTTCAGCATTGTATCATATGTGCATCTCATGTCTTCAGCTGTAGGGAGCTGAAATTATCTACAAAGCTGCAGTATATCGATCAATGAACCTCCCCACTCTGCAATGGCAGCGAGACATGAGTCACATACAGAAGGCACCTCAAGGCACTTGAAAACTTTTATTAACATAATCTACGTTCCATCTTCCAAGTTCACTGGGAAGACAAGAGAACAAATGCCAGTATTTTCACTGACATCAACTGTAGGAGCATCGAGGTTACCATTATCCATGAATAGCTATGTTAGACTGGCCATATTACCTACATGGACGAAAGTAGACTGCCAAAGCAGCTACTTTGCAACCACCTAACAGGCAACAGAAAAGGTATAAAGATAGTCTTAAGAACAAACCTGAAAAAGTGCCAAATCGTTCCCCTTGCCTAGGAGACGATCACTCCACACCATAACGCTTGGAGGAGCATCACACGAGAATGAGTCAATATTTTTGAGTTCGCAAGACTGCATACTGAGGCAGACAAGCACCAGTGCCAGAAAAATGCTGCCATCGCTCCTCCAGCACTGGATGTAGCTCTCCACACGTGCAACATCTGTGGATGGCCCTGTTGGTCCCATATCAGCCTCTCTAGTCGCCTCAGAGCTCACTAACGAAGGTGACATCATACTTGATTCCAAGTGACAGCAAAGTAGTAGTAGTAATAGTAGTGGTGTGTGCGTGCATAGTAATCTCTCCATTAGCCGGAAATTTATTTTTAAGCATTCCGAGAAATTCCGGAAAAAATTTCTCCATTCCGGGCATGGGAACGAATTTCCAAGATATTGCATCACGTTTCTGATGTGAGTTACAATTGGCCACTACTGTCATGTGACTGCATGGGATGCCTATGATTGGCTGATGTATCTCACAGCCTGTCTCCTCAAACTCTTGCATCATGACACTATTAGTTCATTGTCTGCTGCCATTGTACAAGCTTGTTCTCTCGCTCACTGCTGTTTTTGCATACGATCTGTGCTGTGCAGTAATGTACATTAATGTACCAACATATTGTCAGCCAAGAATACCGTTAAAGCAGTGTTAAAACGTAAAAAAAATATTAGTTAAATATACTGTACTGTACATTCAGTAAGTGTAGAAGTAGCTTATGTACAGTACTGTACATAGAATGGGCAGTGTAGATGGTGTATGTACAGTATACAATACATGTACAATCCATCCATGAAGGAGTGACAGTTCGCAACACCTGCTACAGTAGATGGTACAGGACAAAGGCAGGCCATCCTGTATCATCATATCACCATTTGGCCCGCCAGCATCACAAGCTGAAGACAACAGCATCTGCTGGTGAGTACAGTATAGTGAATACTGTAGTACTTGTATATACAGTATATTTATATATATTTATTTACAATATATTGTATGTGTACAGTGGTATTTGCATAAATAAATACAGCTTTGTGTCTGTCTGTGCAAGATGCATAGTTTACTCGGAAAAATTTCCCTAGTACAGGTATCCCTCATTTAATGATGTGTTTGTTTTCCTGAAAACCCAACCTTAAGTAAAATTATCACTAAGCAAAGGATAACAACAAATCACGAAGAGCAAACAACAGGTTCTAACAGCAGGGCAGTAAACACCGAATTCAGTATAGTACCCCCTAATAATAGTACCTGTAATAATAATAATAATAATGATTATTGTAAATGGTTTCGAAGTTAATCAATTAATTTATTATTACCAAAGTTCTATTTAAACGATGTGATTCAGAGTTAAACGATATATTGAGCAAAAGGTGAGCTTAATTCTAACAAATTTTTAATTGCATACATCAAAAATGAACAACAATTGCAATGATAAACAATAAAATTGGTAAATAGCATACAGTATCATAAAATACCAAAGAACATTATCTTGTACATAAAAGAAGAAAAAAAAAGCTCCTTCCACACTCAAACCATCGTCGTCTGGGCAATGCAACAGTTCAGCAGACAGTCACGCAGCTGCTTTGAGACTGTGTGTGTGCGTGTGTGTGACATCATATTGGATGAGGGAGCTCGGTTGGGTGAGGAGTGCGACGCAGTAACAGCCCAGTGCCTCCACATATACGTTCACTTCACATACACATACAGGTAGTTCT